AATGTTGTTCTTTGTGTAATAATTTGATATTAAACTTAACCTGTAATATTGTATTAACTTATTGTAAACACTGTAGCCTTCATCCAAGGACAGCATCGAAATAAATGTACTACTACTTCTACTACTACGTGTTTGAGCGGGGAAAAAAAACCCAAAAAACAAATTGTCGTATAGTTTTTAGTTGTTTGTGTTTCAGTAGAATAAAATGAAACAAATACGAGTGTGCTGTGATATTTTTTTATCTGTATACAGAGGACAAGGATTTTTTATTTTGTTTTTAGGAATACGCATCAAAAAAGGAATGCTGTAACTCGATGCGTTGTCCCTTTTTCGAAAGACAGACCCCAAAACGGTGTCCTGTAAAGGCTTTGCTTTTTCTTTGTTTTTTATTGTCCCAGCCACGTGTTAGCCATGCCCAGGTCATCTATCGCTAGATCCTAGTATGGACCATGGTTCATCCACTAGAGGGGGTGTAAGTCTTGTGATCCTACTGGAGGGGTTGGAAATTGGCGGGAAAACCTAATGTGCTTGTGCGCATTTACATAGGCTTGTGTACAAATGCATTGTTCACATAGGGATTACCTCGACCACCCCTGTGGCAAAAATGGAACTGTCAAATGGCATTGAGGAGGTTAGTGTCTGGTTTTATTGACTGTTTATAGGGCCTGAGTGATACCAGGGGTTAATCTGGGTGAATGGTGGACTTTGAGGGCCGGGTAGCTCAAATTACATTGTGTCATGGATTGATTCCATGCAGCCGTCTAATATCACAGCGCCAAAAATTAGCACGCGAAGGGTTAAAATTCAAAAAAGGGTGTACGGTTAATGGTTTGCTTTTCCTTTTTTCTTTTTAAGATTCTAAAACGGTAACTGGTAAAGGGTGGGTTTGCTGGGTTTTTTTAATTCAAAAACGGTTACTGGTAAAAGGTTTGCTTTTTCCTTTTTTTAATTTCAATTCTCAATTAAAAAGACAGAAATGGGTAAAGGGTTTGCTTTTTAATTTTTTTAACAGATTCAAAAAGCGGTAAAATGTAAAACAAGTTTGTTTTTCTGTTTCCGTTTTTTTAGACGCATAAACGGTAACTGGTAATCGATTTGCTTTTTCTGTTTCCACACCAAGATTATAATAGGGTAAACGGTAAAGGTTTTTTTTTTTTTTTTTTTTTTTTTTTGACAATTTTCAAACGGTAATTGATTGGACGGTATGTACACAGATCATTATCAAGATGGGAAAGTTACATCTAGACACCTGTTTTGGAAAATAGACATTTTGCGATGAAGGTAAGGTTTGCCCTATTTTCCAAAAAATGTGTGTCAAAATAACTGCAAGACACCAGCAAACCTGTCAGGGAAACTTGACACAATTTATAAAAGTGCATTGCGAAGATATAAGCAAAAATATACGCAAAAATATACATGGAAGTGGGTAGCGAGCCCGCCCCCTCCCCGAATTTGGCGCCGCTCTTATTTAATTAGTCTGATCTAACATCACTCAAAAATTATATTTCAATTATCTTCAAGTGCCAAGCTGTCAAACGAAACTGATTTCGTTCTTGTTTTCACAATGTTAAGTAAATGTAAAATTGGCCCCATTTGGCATGGCGACAATGAGCATCGGTCTGATCTAGCGAAGCTTAAGACTTGCCATTCTGTGATCAAGGTCGATGATACTATGCCTTGGACCATAAGGGGATTTTTGTTAAACCCTATCCAGCTCTCAGCCTAATATGCTAGGTATTTATTGGGTAGTAGTGTGGAGTGATGAAAAAGATGAAATGAATTTGTGATACTTTGTAGAACAAACTCAACGCCATAATGGCATATTGCATACCGGTGATTGATGTAATGTAGGCCTAAACCAACAAATTACGAACACCAACAACTACGAGAGAATAATTTGCCTTGTAGGCCTACACTCGACAGGCGTACAACAAGTACAGAACGTGTCGTACAGGTAAATATGATGTTCTTTCTCATTCTGACATTACCATATGAATAAAGGCACTACGCACATGACATTGCAAATACCAGTAGTAAACTTTACTGGTGTGTGTGTAGTCAAGTGTGAAAGCCAGTCATGTTCAGTTGACCTGTACAAACTGGTACAAGGTAGGCAAAATGGCGACGGTGCATTGACGGAATCTTTTACCCAACCCGAGCAAACAGAAAGTAAAATCACCATTGATTTCTAAATTACACATTTTCTCACAGATCCAATTGTCAATAAAGCAATCATAGAAATGAGCAGCTATTACCCAGTCTGCTGCATTAGTCTTAATTTCACTTTTAGCCAAAACTGAACAGTCTAATTCCCGAAGTGGTCACGGACTTACCAGTTGTTGCTGGCCGACGGGCTGAGGCGCAGCCACGTAGGCCGGTGGGGCGTTGGTAGGGGTCATCATTGTGACAGAAAGTATCTCTGGAATCTGTTAATCCAATCAATTAATCCATAATTAGTCAGGCGGTCGATCGGTTCAATTCATCCATATTTTCACATATTTTATAAAAGTGAGATAAGGTCTGAGTGTTAATACATTTATACTTCTGATTTTTCAAGTTCACATAGTTTCGCAAATGCTCCATGGGACATCTTCTGGAAAAACCTGTCTCACTCTCTCAAGGCGCCAATAAGCACTTGCTTTTCTTGCCATAGTAATGATAAACATTATTATAGGACATTTAAAAGTGATTTAAGCGAAAAAACAAACGCAATCGTTTCAGTACCTTTCGCTGGATAGAGTGTTCTTGTTTCCTAAAACGGCGTCACTGACGGAAACGGCGTTCTAAAGACCTACACACAGCGCATACAGACTGGGTTTGTCCATATATCGTACAAGGGAAAGAAAAGACACTCTGCTGAAAAAAGTAAAACAGGAAGTAGTTTTTCGTTTGAAAGGGCGCCACCACATTACTGGTAGGTGTAAAGTAAATTTGCTCCAGTCACTGAACGCGAGGTGTGCAAGTTAGTTGTGCAAAGCCACTAAATCCCCCCTTTCATGTCAATCATGGAGATATGTAACATCATAAATCTGTTTTTTCCCTGATTTAGTACCACTCAGGTGCTTCAGGGGGAAATGCTTAGGTACCTCATTTTGAGACAGTGTACAGTATTGTGCTGTGAATGAGCTGACTGTATTGTAAATAGGCATGGGCTTCAATTGGTGGGGGACGGGGGGTTGGACATGTGCCCGGACATGTGCCCACCCCACCCCCCCCAACCCCCACCCCCTCACACACGCACTTTTTAAAGTGTGAGGGGTATCGTATCGTTTGTCCCCCCCCCCCTGTACACTTTTTTCGTCAACGGATACAAATTGTAGCCCATATTTCATTCTGTAGTTCAGAATAGCTGATTCAATGACTCCACACTCGAAAATAATGTATAAATGACGATCTCTTGCTCAAAAACAAATTGGTTAAAATGGTCAGAAATCGCCTCAGATCGCACCACAAAAGAATTTCCGGGGCCCTTCAGCAGGCCCCGGACCCCATCACCCAAGGCCATAAGGGCTTCGCACTTGCATTAGTTCTGATCAAGGTATTTACCCCCATTTTTGAGAAGCGATTGACGCTCTGGTACCTGTAAACAGGAATCAGAGATGGGAGTAGTATGAATAATTCTCCCCCAGATCTTGCACTTTACATCATGTCGACATTGTTTATGGCTTTTTGTCCACATGCTTTTTCAAGTAAACAATACAACAGTATGTTAATTAATTCATTGTTCATTTGTTCATTGATTTTTTTTTTTTATTGATGACTGTTGAGTTTTTTATATTTCTAAGAATTTGTGCGAATTTAATAATTGTTACTCTTATTGTTGAAAGAGAACAATACAAGCATTCTATTCATGTTATAATCAGTTCGAATTTGAAACTGATTGTATAAAATGTGAAATATTATTGAGAACAAAATTACTTGGAAAGTGTTATTTTGTATTGGACTGTCTGAAGTAGCAGTAATGAGTAGACCTACTACTACAACAGAACAAACAATTGACAGAAATAAGATGGGATTTTTGCGTCGGGGTGATGTAAATCAAATTACGTTTTGCCCTTCACCGACGTATAGACACTGTATACTAAGTGTCTTACCTCCCGAGTGAAGGTTGGGAAAAAAAACACTCAGGTGGGTTCGAACCCACGACCTCCTGCTTTCTAGTGCAGATGTCTTACCTCTCCACTATCGTGCTAACGGGATCGGTTGGTTGGTTCGAATCTATTGTACATAGCAGCGGGTACCGCATTAATTATTAATAAGATGGGATTTTTTGTTTTTGTTTGCAAACAATGCAATTAAATCAAATCAAACACGTTACTAAGTGTTACTATTTCACTGACACGTCAACTTTTGTCCGCACTTTATTCATGTATTCGGTCATTCATTTATTCTTTTATTCGTCTCTTCACTTTGTCATCTCTTGAAAATCATCACTGAAAATGCCTCTTGCCTTTTACACACAATATTATCTATTTCTCGTGTTGATTCTCCGTAGCCCCTCACACGTTTACCTACCCAACGCTAGTGATGCCCGTCCCCATAGACCAATTTGGTGACATCATAGAGTTTCATCAAGTGCATATAATATGTGGTTTGTCAAACAAAATTAAGGGTACCACCGCGTCATATTCTAAATAAAGCAATCGCTTAGTGGCATTAAAAGTGCCTCGACTTCACAGTGGTACTGAAGGCCTTTTCCCTCAACTGTGTACGAGATCTCATTGTATACATTATTGCAAAACCCGTGACCCAAAGTGAGTACACGAACTACACTTCCGTGAGCGCACCAATCGTCAACCATGCACAAGAAATGCACGTAGTTGTGTAGGCCTATTTCAAGTGACTTCACCACAATACTTTTCGACGCCTTCGTTTCCTTCAACAGTTTTTATTCATGACCGAGTAGCCGGGTGTGTGCTTGGAGCCGGGGGAATGTGCCCCAACAAATTCCCAGTGCCCGCATCCCCCACAAAACAAAAAAAACCGTTGAGGCAAATGGGAATTCAAGCATTCTCTTTATTTTAAATGTTTCATAATAAGGTCTGCACTACGAACTTTACTATTAAAAAAAATCCATTAAGTTTAAAGACAAGTGAACGTGATATCCTGACTATTTATTGTTTTAATCCCTTTTCCAAATGTGGTTTCTTAACACTTAAGGACGTTGTTGTATAGAAAGCATCCCTGAAATGGGAATACGTTTTAGCAGCATAAAATATAACTAAATGTTCAGCCCTTACGGCAGTTCTGTTCCAAACAGTGTAGGATAACATTTTAAAATTCTGGTCATTGTTGTATGGAAAGCATCCAAGATATGAAATCAATGGAACGGAGTTTTTAGCAGCATGACCAAACACAAACACAGCTGAAGGTCCACCCCCCGGTACGGGAAGTTCTGATGCAAACAAAATTGACAGACATGTTATCAAACAATAATAACTCATAATAACAATTACAAAAAAAACGTTCAAACATCACCTTCTCATAGGGACATATCATTTGCTCATTGATACATTAGCAAAACCAAAGTGAGTACTGTGTACATATAAATGACAAATCTGAGTAGTACTGACTAATATAATATGTGTGAATTACAAAGCTTAGACATCTCTTTTAAGAAGAAAACAAATAAGTGTGTAACTTACGCCAAGTGCTGTTGAAGTCAACGGACGGGGTTTAAAAAGTCACAGCGGCTATATCAAGTCAGCAATCTTGAATTCTTTTTTTAAATTTGTTTTTGCTGTGAATGCAAGAAAGCTAATGTGGGCTATTCCATCAATACCAGCTTGATCAACGAATGGATCTAATTCGGAGAAGCAGCTCGTCATGCGTTGTACAGAGAGCTGTTTTTATATTTCATTATCATACAGATTCCCCAGGTGAAACATAACACCGAAACCCCTTCCAATTTGAAAACTAAGGCAATAAATTCCATATCTAGAACCTCAAACAATTTAACATAAACTCAATTTTCTAAATTATACGACTCCCTGTTATGCTCAGCGTGGAATGGGAGAAATATTATCGCAAGGTAAAATCTGGACTTTTCCATTTCACGAGGCGAAGCCGAGTGAACTGGAAATAGTATTTCCCATTCCCCATTGGCGGATAGTATACTTTTTGAGCCCGGGCGTGAATGGGGGCCATAACGAATGTCACGTGATGGGAGTTCCTCCAATCAAAGGACAAGGATTTGTATGTCGGTTATATAAAAGCTTATATTGGTCACACCTTTATTTGTAAAGCGGTGAACCTGCTGTTGGTTAAGGCTAAATTTGGCTCCGGAGCAATTTCGAATGCACAAAACAAACAGAAAGACACTGCCTTTGGCGTTCAGTGATGGACGTCTTTGAAAACGCAGCAATTAAATACAACAAAACTAACTAGTATTTTAGTCAGAAACGCAAAACATGCCCCGAATGTCTACAGCCGAGGCTGTGATTTTGGGAATGGCCCATTTTTAGTTTATTTAATATATACATTATGCATAATGTTACAACAGCTATTGAGTAAATATCTGAATAGGCCTATATTATACTTTTTTTCATTAACTGCTTGATTCAAATTAAGCATCTCCAACATTCTAACTTTCATTTGAGAAAAAAAATATTCTAAAATGGAGCCAGAGTAACATATCGCTTTACCTCCGAACCTATTTCTTGACGCGTGACTGCTAAAAGCTTAATGTGCATTCATATAAAGTTTACATGAACAAGCCAAAACTTAAATTCCGTTTTAAGCCCTAGATGATTCCATCAGGTCAAAGGTCATCGATGACCTATTTAATGAGTTCTTGGTACTGTTGCTCACCGGTTGGGGGCGCTTGAGTCTGCGGATACTGCACGTGCTGGGCTGGGTTAGCTGCATCAAAACAGGAGAAAGGGTGAATGAAGTGTTAAGGATGAGACAGTGTGGTTAATGTACACATCACCGTAATGTAACAGCAGCTTTTCAGTAAATATCTCAAAGTACACTTTTTTTCATTTAATATACTTTACATCAATTAAACATCTCCCACATTTCTCTTTTATCGGAAAGTTATTGTGAAATGGAGCCAGGGCAACATATTGTTTTGCCTCTTAACCTGATTCTCGACGCGTGAGTTCTATAAAAGCTAAATGAACATCCACATATACCGTTAACAAGCAAAATTCAAGACTTTAAATTCTGTTTCAAGCACTAGATATCATAATTCCTTCAGGTCAAAGGTCATCGCTGACCTATTTAATGAGTTCTTGGTACTGTTGCTCACCGGTTGGGGGCGCTTGAGCCTGCGGATACTGCACCTGCTGGGCTGGGTAAGCTGCATCAAAACAGGAAAAAGGGTGAATGAAGTTTTAAGGATGAGACAGTATATTTGAGTAAATATTTTAGTACACCTTTTTTCATTTAATATACTTTACATCAATTAAACATCTCCCAAATTTCTCTTTTATCGGAAAGTTAGTATGAAAGGGAACCAGGGCAACATATTGTTTTGCCTCTTAACCTGATTCTCGACGCGTGAGTTCTATGTACATCCACATATACAGTTAACAAGCAAAAGTCAAGACTTAAAATTCTGTTTCAAGTACTAGATATCATGATTCCTTCAGGTCAAAGGTCATCGATGACCTATTTAATGGTTCTTGGTACTATTGCTCACCAGGTGGGGGCGCTTGAGCCTGCGGATACTGCCCCTGCTGAGCTGGGTAGGCTGTATCAAAACAGGAGAAGGGGAAATTAGGAAATGCAATTTTAAGGATGAGACGACCAGAGAAGGGTGTTATACTTTCTATGAACACATATACAGAGGAAAAGACAGCTTAAAGATGTTGTGAAGAATTTAAAAAAAAAGGGCTACATGGGAGAGACCACAAGCTTCGCAGTTTGATATCTGATCATTATTACTATAACTTAAAATGTTGAAAAAGACATCTCTTACCAATTTGTGGCTGGCCAGAGGGAACGTTGTAGAAGGCCGGGCCATGGGGCTGTGTGGTAACCACCATGTGTGGTCGAGCTTGGTAGTGGATCTGTCATTATCAAGAAAAGTTGTGTTTCATTGGAGTGTTTCTTCAACTACATCGTCGTCTAATTGAATGCATTGCCTATCATGGCGATACCTTGCAAACGTACGCGTAATTGTCGCTGATCCCATATCTGAACATTCTTTTCCAATCGAACTCTCTGTTTATGATCGATCTGGTTTTTTTATGATTTAAGTGGCTAATTATTCTTGATTTCTGAGCAAATCTACAATCCCGGCCAAAATGGTTGGGACACTTCCTGAGCCTGCCACGGTCACCCACTCCCCCGCTCCCCCGGTCAATGTTGTTCTCTACAGCTGATGGAGCACACACCGCGCAATGAGAGACAACATTGAACGGGGGCCGGGGGCTTGGGGGCTCAGCGAGATTTGGCCAGGACTGTAGATCCATAGGGCATTTGCTTTATTATCCAAATATTGTTTTTTTTCCGTTGTAACATTAATTTAAGAAAGCGATGTGAATACACGAAAACTCTATTATACCTTTATACATTTCGTCTACTAGCTTCAGTGGTATTCCATGGCATGAAACGGCGAATAACTAGTTTTTTTTTGCCAGAATAAAATGGAAGTGCTTTCGAAGGAAAGCAAATCAAAGGATGAAAAGGTATGCCTATATGACCTTACGTGGTAATAACTGCAATACGTGTATACATGCCTAGGTTAGATTTGACTGCTAAATTTAAACTGGAATTTACCTCAAAAGCATGAAATACTCCTTTTATACAACAGTCACAAGTTCTCAAAAGTCCTTAATAACTTAATCACAAGGCATCATGACCAAAGTCAAGTCACAATGAGCTGTTGTATACACCCATAAAACTGGACTTGTCAACTGAATTGTAAATTACTTGATCTTGATAAAACAACAAGCAATGCAGATACAGAGGATACAACTTGGTGTTGTCCCAATGCGGTACCTACCACAGTCTGAGTTGCTGATCCACCGTTGCAAAGGGGACCGCAGGTCATGCTGGCACCAATGATGGCGACAACAAACTCCGCTACGGCGAGAAGTATCAGTGTAGCATAAACACCATTGACGGCCGCCTGTATAGAATCATTGCAAGAGATATAATGTATCAGTTACCTTCACACTTTAAGGGTATCCCACAATTCAACACATATTAAACCCAAATATTTTTGTGGTACGTAACGATCCGTCTTGTGAACGTCTAGGCAATTTTGAAAATCTTATAACTTCATCATACATGTTGAAGCACAAATCGCAGTTTAGAAATACTTTAAATCAAGAAAAGCGGAGGAGACGTGATTCTCATTTATATTGTGCTTCAAGAGTGAAGCAACGACGGCAACTTCAATGAGAAACTAGAGGTTATAGGAACAACCACACGGTGTTGGGCTTTCATGTTTGTAGCAATTACCACAAACTTCGCCGAACACATCAACTCAAATACCAAAATTCGACTTTTTCAACATGCCGCTAGAGGGTGCTCCAACATTTGATGACGTCACCTGTAATATTTTTGTAAAGTACAGCCTAAGCAGAGACTCACATCGTTGAAAGCAAGTTCACATCAATTTTAAATTTTCAGGCACTTCCGGTTTCGACCGGAAGGAAGAGTTATCTGATTTTGCACTTAATACAAAAAATGACGACCCCACAATATTGTATCGATTGTCATAAAAACAAAATTAAATCTTTAACAGTTGATTTTCATATATATTTTGAGAGATTAAATCTAGAAATATTTGCTTGCTTGTAAAATGATACTTGATGACGTCATCGTGACGTCATTACCAGAAATCTCAAGAGCTATGTTACCTGTGCTATATATAGCCAAATCCCATTATGTATCGTAGCCTTCTCTCCTGATTAAGTCTACTGCGTTTCTGTATTCCTCACATGTTATTTTTGTTGTTGTTTTTTTGGTCTTTTTTGCTCATACAGCCTTTTGCCATCTTTTCATTTTATTATTATATGTTCCTTGTCTCGTGCCAGCTTACGTATTGTAATGTCTTTGATTGTTTGTTGGGGTGTTTGCTTGTTTGTTTGTCCTGTGTTTTTTTCTGTCGGCTGTTTTCCACAAGCTTCTGCTTATTAAAACAGCCCGATGCTCTAGTAACTTCTTTTATTTTGCTGTTAATTTGATATTTACTGCTTTATGGTTTAACCCTTTTCTCTAAAGTTTTCTATATATTTTTTTTCATGAAGCATGGAAATAAATATGTAGTTGAATTGAATTGAATCGATAGTTCATTTATGTTTTCATTTTGACAAACAGTTCTGGAGAAGAATTTGTCATGAAGAATACAAATGAGAAGAATGGTAAATTCTTACAATGTTGGGCTGAAGGCCAAACACCTATATAGGTGTTAAAAAGCAGAAGAAGATAGATACCCCCTGAGGCAGTAACAAGAATACGTTTTTCATTATAAGGAGGTTAAAGTTCTACTCACTTTCAAATCACAGTATGGAGGAGGATTGTCATAGACGGTCACGACGCGGCCATAATAATTATAACGATAACGCGTATAACGCGGATAGCATTGTTCATTGATGTATGCCATCCTGGCAGCACCAAAACCAATGACGCAGCACGTCGCCAAACAAGCCAAGATGGACATGACCATGTAGCCGATAGCCTGTGCAGAAAAAAAACACAATTTATTCAAACTCTTTAAAAAATGTTCAGGCCATAGTTATCTGCAAATAACATAGTAGGATTCTACTTATTGGTTACTCTTCCCATTTTGAACATTTTCCACTCCAAGGATCCGAAGCAACAACTGAGCACCATTATACTGCCGAGTATTAAAGAAACCCGTAACAATGGCTTACCGATCCAGAATTCTTCGTAGATCCAGACACTATTCCACAGATTCCAGCGAAGACATAGAACTGTAAAAACATTCAAGGCTGACATTTAAGGAAGGCTGCATGCTTCATTTAGAATGTACATGTGCAGCAGATGTATATACGAATCCAACCACTTGATCATTGGCAAGATATTGGAAAACTTTAGTTTTCTATGTGGACACAAAATGGAAATGTCAAAAACATAACGTATCATTGTACGCGTAAAACAAAACAACAAAAAACACCGTAAACCTCGTATGTGAAAAATGACTGTCAACAGGCGCGGATCGGGGGGGGGGGGGAATTGGGGGTAAGCCCCCCCAACTCCGTCTAAAAAAAATCCCATACAAATTCCAAAAAAAATACGTACACCCCCCCCCCCCCCCTTTGCTGTGACACCCCCCAAAAAAATTATACTGGCATAATATCCGCCTGTTCAAATTACGGTACCCATTCTGTAATCTAGTGTTGATAATCGTTGAATTTGAACAGCGCCCCTATTAAAATATGGTACAGCCCCCCCCCCCCCCCCCAGTTTTATATTTTATGGAGGCCAAATGTCCGGAGAAAAAACCTGTGTACATTTACCGATTTTTTTTTGCTGATGAACCCCCCCCCCCCCCCTGCGAAAATTCCTGGATCCGTCCCTGGTCAATACACAAGAATAACATGGAATTCGGGTGAGTATTGTTTCATACTTACTGATATACCACACCAAATTGGAGATCCGATGTCACTGCTATTGTAGAAACGGCCAAATGCAGTCAGGGTGACAATCCCCAAAATGACGGTTAAGGAACCCAAAACCACTTGAATTATTCCTGTCCACAGAATACCCTTCCAGTTAACACTTCGAGGCTGTGGGTTGGCCGTGCCGACAATAACGGGAGCGGGTTGCACCGTCACCTGGTGAATGACATGATACGGAAATGTTCGGGTCGAGTGTCAATGATAAAGACTGAGAGCTGGGTAGGGTTTTAAAAAAATCCCCTTATGGTCTTTAGGCCAAAACAAATAAGTCTCCGGTTTCTGGTATGGAGCTTGCCCAAAAAGTGGTGCGGCGACGCAGCTTTTTTTTACCTGAATTTTTTTTGCCTCAAAATGTCGGCTGATGACTGCAAATGGTGCCCGACTAGACTTAGTGCAAAATGGAAGTCCAGAGAGGCCACATTAAGCTTATTCTCGATCATAACCCCATCTAAAACGTTAAAATTTTGCAGCAGGAGGATTCCAGTCAAACCAGGGAATTGGCGTTTTTGAGGCATCATCTTTTATTGAAAAAAAAAAAACGTTTTCATTTTGCCGAAGCGCATGGCTACGGCGACGCGCGCGCATACCAGAAACCGGAGACTTTTTTTTGTGTTGGCCTTGAATAGCATAGTATCATCGACCCTGATTACAGAATGGTCAAATTGGGCCAATTTTACGTTTAAGCAATAGCTTGGCGCTTGTAGATTATGGAAATATAACTGAAGCGTGATTTTAGATCAGAGTATAATTAACTTAAAAGTGGCGCAAAAAAAGGGCGGAGGGGCGGGGCCACCACCACCCTTCATGTACATTTTCGTTGATATGGTCAAAATGCACTTTTTAAATCGTGCCGAGTTTCCCTGACATGTTTGCTGATGTCTTGCATTTATTTTGACACCAATTTTATGAAAACAGGGCACACTAAGCTTCGTTGCAAACTGTCCATTTTCAAAAACAGGTAGGCCCAAGAGAGTGCCGACTAACACATTGAATTGAAACTTCACATGTACTACAAAATTAAGAAGGAGAAAATAAAACCAGTTTTTATTGATGCCTTGGCAGATGTAGAAAATAAAAAAGTATCTTAAGGCCAAAAAAAGAAACTCAGTGTCTAGTCAGCACGCGCGTCGGTGTTAAGCATGCGCGTCAACTTGTTTTCCCCATTAAAATTACCCGGAAGCTACAACAACGCCCTCTATTGCCGCAAATTCTCAAATTTTTGTACCAAGGAGCACCAAAGAATGAAGAAATTGCACCAAGGCAAATGATAAAGGGCACCAAGGCAAATTATGAAGGACACCAATGTGTAATGAGGACACAAAAAGCAAAATAGTACCCCCCTCGACTGTACAATTCAAGCTTGAAAAACAACCCAAAAAACGCCCCCCCCCCCCACCAAAAAAAAAAAAAAAAAATCGTGTCGCCGCATCAATTCCGGAACTTCGGTCTGACCAGAGACGTACCAATTTTTTTTTTGGCCTAAGAGTGAAGTGAAATTATAATTCGATCTGTTTGTCGGTACTCTTATGCACACTTTCATGTAAATGTACATTATCGATCGTGGGTCTCCCGCCACGCCCCGAGGACAATTTGTTTATCCCCTGGAAACAGCAACGAGACACTTTCTGACGAACTTGGCCGCACTCGGGTTTCGTTGGGCTGAAACTAGGAACATATTTCGTTTTTCCTTTTCCTGTTACCCTTTTTTTTCTTTACTGTGTTGGCAAAACAAATTGTCGTAGTTTTTAGTTGTTTGTGTTTTAGTAAAATAAAATGAAACAAATACGAGTGAGCTGTGATTATTTTTTATCTGTATAGTTTAATACAAGGAAAGATTTTTTTTTTTTATTTTGTTTTTAGGAATACGCATCAAAAATGGAATGCTGTAACTCGATGCGTTGTCCATTTTCCGAAACACAGACCCCAAAACGGTGTACGGTAAAGGCTTTGCTTTTCCTTTTTTTCTTTTTAAAAATCAAAAAAAGGGTGTACGGTTAATGGTTTGCTTTTCCCTTTTTCTTTTTTAGATTCTAAAACGGTAAACCGGTGAAGGGTGGGTTTGCTGGATTTTTTTTTTTAATTCAAAAACGGTAACCGGTAAAAGGTTTGCTTTTTCCTTTTTTTTATTTCAAAAACGGTAACCGGTAAAGAGTTTCCTTTTTTTTTCATTTTTCAGTTTTTAATTTAAAAAGACAGAAATGGGTAAAGGATTTGCTTTTTAATTTAATTAACAGATTCAAAAAGCGGTAAAATGTTAAACAAATTTGTTTTTCTGTTTTCGTTTTTTTAGACGCATAAACGGTAACTGGTAAACGATTTGCTTTTTCTGTTTCCACACCAAGATTATAATAGGGTAAACGGTAAAGGGTTCCTTTTTTTTTTTTTTTTTTGACGATTTTCAAACGGTAATTGATTGGACGGTATGTACACGGATCATTATCAAGAGGGGAAAGTTACATTGAGACAC